ACACACACACACCTTACTGCCTACAGTTCCACCCAACACACACACACCTTACTGCCTACAGTTCCACACCACACACACACAGCTTACTTCCTTCATCTGTGGATGAATTTCTGAATTTATATTTATATTGAAAAACCTGGAGGTGATATTTGATCCAGGCTTGACATTGAACCCACATGTGTAAAATTTTGTAAGTTCATCATTCTTCTCTGAAATATCAGCAGACTCTGTCCTATGTTGTCTCTGGCAGTAGCTGAAAATCCGGTCAACATATTTGACTTCTCCGGAAGTCCTATTCATTGGGCTACCTCAATCCATGCTGAACAAACTTCTGTACGTCTAGAATTTGGCCACCAGAATCCTGTTCAGATCATGTGTGAGTGATGGCATTACTCCTGTCCTGGAGTCCTTGCACTGGTTTCCTGTCAGGTTTTGTATTGACTTCAAAATCCTCATGCTCCCTTACTGTATATGGATGGGCACCTCACTACCTGTCTTACTTATCTTCTTACTCTTCATCTTTGTTCCTCTGACTCTGGTGTCCTATTTGTCCCCCATGTTCATCTATGTACTTTAGGTGACAGGGTCTTCTCCTGTTATGCCCCAAAGCTCTGGAATTCCTGTTGCCAAGGATATCAGAGAGTCACCTATCACGATTGCCTTCAAATCCAGACTCAAAATCCTTTTCTTCAGAAAGGCTTTAATTTAATTGATGTCTGTGTCTGCTCCATTGTCTCTTCTACTACATTCTAAACACTTCTGTTTCTTTGTGCTAATTTTGTTATCTCCTGTCTTTGGTACAGTTTTTCATTGTTTTAACTGTTTTTTTTTACTCTTCCTGTAAAGTGCTTTGAGAAGATGCTTTTTAAATTCAGCAAATATTAAATATGATTTTATATTCATATAATAATATATTATAAGCGCAGGGTTTCCAGGAAAGTCCCTTGACAATCACATGTACTGACATCTACATATTACGATTGGGGTCACACTAATTTAAAGGTATATTTCCTCCTCCTTAATGAGAACTAATAGGCAGAACTTCTATAACTTGTTTGAACAGCAATGAAAAAGGAAGAAATGTGGTTAATTCACAATAGAACACAGATATTCCTCACAGCACACAGGAATTACTGTATTTTCCATGTTTTCTGCTGTCAAGGGTTAGAGGAGCTGAATCAGCAGTTTTCAGGGCTGGTAGATGATCGAGATGTTGCAGCACCATATGTCAGGAAATAATAATAGAACTTATTCTGTTCCTTTGACCCCCAGCATCTCATATGGTTGATGGAATTCAGACATGTGTGCACCCCAGCAATGATAACCCCTGCCATGCATTAGAGGGTATAAATAGTTCTGGATATTTTCTCCTAAAGACATATAAAATTTCATTTATTAATCCTGTGAAACAAACTCAGGAATAGATCTTTGTCAAACGTCATGACATCATGAATAGGGAGTCGTACACTCTAGCCTACTGTACTGTATCCACCTCAGAAAAGCAATATCTTAATATCTTAATAAAGCAGTTTTCATCTCTGATTTGTTTAGGACATATTTCTTTTCTGATGAACACCCTCTGTGAATTAGTTCATCCTTTTAGCATGATTCGCAGAAAGGGAATTCAGGAAAGCTTCTTCAAGTAACTGATCTAATGAAGTAACTATATAAAGCACTACCTTAAACTTTTCCCAGAAGCAGGATAAAAATGCTTATCGAAATAATTTTATTGCTGGTGTATTGGAGGGCAGCACAGAGTGGCAAGGCAGAAATGCTAACCACTGTGCAGCACTAGGGCTCCAGGTTGAATTCTGGGCATGTGGTGCTATCTGTGTGGAGTCTGAATGTTCTCCCTGTTTTTGTGTTTAGTTTCCTCTGGGTGCTCTGGCTTCCACAGTCCAAAGACATACTAGTAGGTTAATTGGCTTCTCTTTAAATTGGCCCTGGTGTGAGTATCTGTGTGTGCCCTGCGATAGACTGGCATCTAGTCCAGGGTGTATTCTGCCTTGCACCCATTGCTTGTCAGAATATTCTCTGGCTCCCCCTTGACCCCATACTGGATAAAGCAGTTAGGAAACAGATGTTGTGTCATGAATTTGATTTTAGGAATTAAATAAAATAGTAACATACTGTAATGGATGGACGGTCTATTACACTCTTTTAGATTTTGCTTGGAGCAAATCTCTATCCGTCAGCATAGAATAAGATAAGAGGATTGTTTTTACTTTCCCAAAACTCTGAGAACGGTGAAACTTAAGGAAACTTGCAGGATTGTTTTGTTTTTCTTTTTTTGGTGCCAGCCGTGAAATCCATTTTCTCCGTGCCGGTCACAGCACAGATCATATCAGTGTTTTTATCATTTTTGCTATGGTGACAATGGCTTAAAAGATATATCAACAACGAAAATAAAACCAAAAACACAGAAATTCCTGGTAAGCTACAGTACGTTCTGCTTTCAGTTCCAGTTGAAAATACCAGAGCCCTTAAAACTGCTGTAGTGACTGTCTTTACTTGGTTCCAGGCTCTGTTAGTCAAAAATTGTTTAATGTTTTGAAAGGTTATAAGGGTTTCTTGACAACGTTGTGTGAAGCTATGAAGGTCAAATTGTCCTATACAGTAAGTCCCAATATTGAAAACAGGTAAATATGTAGTTTGTTGTTTACCTGAGTACAGTCCTGTACCAATGTGCTGTTATCCCCCTTTATAATGCTCCCTGCTCACACTGATTTAAAGACCAGATGTGTTAATATAGATTGTATTTGTAAAACAATTACAGTACATATACTGCATTGGAGACCTTGTGGGCATGCAGCATACAGTACATCTAATTACAGGCTATAAAATGGCTCTCTTGTGTTATTAGTTTTGTACTTTGAAGTTTTATGATCTCAAAATGGGTCTTAGGGGGTTTGAAGTGATCCACAAGCCTGCAGGCGTTGTAGCCAACTTGTAATCATCAGATCCCCATAACTTTGACCAAGCATTTTCAAATTAAGACGTATGCTGTCCAATAAACTGTGGGTTGTAGAACGTCCAGCTCAAGGTGGAGAAGTTTTCTTTCTAACTGATCTTGAAAGGAGAGAGTTATTTGAGATGAAAGTACTTCTTGTCTCCAGAAATGGATGCATTTTCTAAATTAAATTAATTAAATAATTAAGCTAAATCTTTCTTGAGCTCCTCTGGGGTGGATATGAGGTTCTTTTTGATAGTTGGGGACAGTCAGGCAATACTCTGCTCTCCTCCCCACTGAGAGCTGGTGTGTGGTGAGCGTTCTGGCGCACTATGGCTGCCGTTGCATCATCCAGGTGGGGCTGCACATTGGTGGTGGTGGTGGTGGGGAGTCCCCATTATCTGTAAAACGCTTTGAGTGGAGTATCCAGAAAAGCGCTATATAAATGTAAGCAATTATTATTATTATCATTAGGATCTGCGAAATCTGCGTTTCACAATTAATGGAGCATTTTTGTGCCATAGTTTATATAGCCTCTGAGATGTACCAGCTTAAATAATTGATGTGATGGCACTATTTTTGTTTGAGTATTAGGTCAAACCGCAATTTGCATTTCGTCCCTTTGGTGTACTAACATTAAATAGGCCATAATAGAGTGTATTTCTTCATTTGATAAAGTCCACATCTTGGAGGCTGCTTTCTTACTCAGGGGCTCTCTAGAAACAATATTTTCGCATACGGGAACAATGGCATTTCGCTTTGTCACGAGTCGTGCCACCACATCTTTGCCCTTGTTAATTTCAAAAGGAGAAGTCACATTCTGAGGCAAGGTGGTGCCTTCTCTTTTTCATGTTACACATGGTCTTGGCTCCGTTCTTGCGTTGCCGCCAAGAACTTGGAAGATTCATACGAGTCTGGAGAGTTTTCCTCTTGTGACCGACGTCATTGACAAAGAAATCCACAGTCCTTTGCGCTGTACCCAAAGTATTTCAGTGTTAATTATTGCCATGTACCAGCATGGTTGGAATTTATCACACAGTAAATTACTGCAATGAACTCAAGTCCAGATTCTTAGCCGTGATATCTGTATAGACTGTAACTGATACCCCTCACTCTGCACGCATGTGCAATGCCATTATATTCCTCTGGGTCTCTTTCAGGCACTTACCAAGGACAGTTCACGGGCGGCATGCGCCACGGTTACGGGGTGCGCCAGAGCGTCCCCTACGGGATGGCGGCGGTGGTGCGCTCTCCCCTGCGCACCTCCCTCACCTCCCTGCGCAGCGAGCACAGCAACGGCACCCTGCTGCAGCAGGACGTCCCGCTCATCACCGCCACCAACGCGGCCGGCCAGGAGACGCCCCTGAGCCCGCCCTCGGCCAACCCCACCCGCGGCGGCTTCGCCCTGACGCTCCACGTGGACCCCGAGGCCCCCAAGCCCAAGAAGAAGGGCCTGTTCCGCCGGGGCTCCCTGCTGGGCAAGCTGAAGAAGTCGGAGTCGCGCGCCTCCCTGTCCAGCCAGAAGAGCAAGGTGAGCTTCCTCAAGAGCGAGTCGGGCCTGAGCTCGGCGGCCAGCGACGCCAACTCCACCCTCAGCCTGGGGGAGGAGACGGAGGGGGGCGAGGACTTCCCGCCGGTGGAGTCCGACATCGACGCCACCACCACCGAGACGTACATGGGCGAGTGGAAGAACGACAAGCGCTCGGGCTACGGCGTGAGCGAGCGCTCCAGCGGCCTGAAGTACGAGGGCGAGTGGCTGGACAACCAGCGGCACGGCTACGGCTGCACCACCTTCCCCGAGGGCCGGAAGGAGGAGGGCAAGTACAGGAACAACATGCTGGTGAAGGGCATGAAGAAGCGGGTGATCCCCCTCAAGAGCAGCAAGATCCGGCAGAAGGTGGACCGCAGCGTGGAGGGCGCGCAGAGGGCGGCCGCTATCGCCAAGCAGAAGGCAGAGATCGCCGCCTCCAGGTGAGTGGGGCCTCGAGAAGCCGGGGGGTGGTGGGTGGTTGAGTGCAGAAATGCGAGCTTGGCTCGGCTCCAGGGTTTCCGTGCAGCGGAGCAGCAGATTTCTGGGACAAAGGATTTTGTGTGACGCTGGAGAGGAGGATGGAGCTCCAGAACAACGATCGCTTGATGGAAGTCTCTAGCTCCCGGCCTACAGGCACAGATGCCAGTTGCTCTGGCGACACGCAGAGCCATAGAAACAAGGGGAACCACGGAGAAATCCGGGACCGAGGTGATCCCTTGAACCTGCGGTGCAGCAGCCAGACTGTAAATATACCGCATGGACTGAAACAAAGTGTTTCTTTATTGAACGTGCTGGCAAAGTCCGAACAGTAGTTGCTCTCACATGTTTGGAACAGCACCGTTCTTTATCTGACTCCTCGGCGTCCTGTCATACATAAATATCCAGTTCTGTTTATTCCAAATTCAGCCTTCTTCTAACTCATGCAGAGTCCAGGTCGACCCCATATTTAGAGCTAGCTTGAACGTGCATCTTCTGGTAGCAGAAGTTTCCTAGTGAACAGAATTTGATCCATCTATATGAATATTAATTCGTTTCGACCAACATTGGACTGACATTTGACAATGCTAGAAAACTAAACAAACCTCTAATTCTGCTTTGTGTATAAAAGTGCAAAATCAGCAGCCATGGGCTCATCGGTGTGTTTAGCTGTTCCTTGACCAAAGAAATGGGCTTATATACTGTATGTACCTTTCAGATGTTTTTTTATCAGATACTGCTCTCCCAGAAAAATAGTAGAATATTATTAATTTAAATTATTTGACGTAATACATTTTAATAGCATTAACATATCGACTCTGCAGCCACTGTGGGGTGAGGTGCACCAAGATGACTGGCTTCATCTGCACAATGCAAACCAAAGGGAAAAACAACAAAATCAATAACTTCCTTAGGTAGAACAGAAAAAAAATGCATGCTAATAATTAGTCCCTTTCTTAAACGAAGCAGACATTTTCAGTTGACTAGTTCATTCAAAGTGCTGTGTATTGAGACACCCCCTGCCTGGCAATCACAATACAGGTCTTGCTTACAATTCTGGCTCATGGTAATGAAATTTCACTTTGATTAATCAGATAACAAAATACTTTTTTTCTGTCAGAAAATAAGGCCATAAACAAAACTGGTTAGAAATGAACTTGCAGGATCACTTATTTCTAAATAAAGCTAAATAATAATTAATAACTACGTATTAAATATTAACCGTGGTATTAGATTATACAACTTTCTTCTAATCTCCAGTTTCCTGAATAACCCCCAGGGTGTAGACTAGGCAAGTGTCTCAAGTTTTAGGTACTGTATCTGTGCTCTTTTCTGTCTGTTGGCTGACCTTGTTCTTGCTTGAGAGCAGCACCAGACCTGTGTAGAATCCAGGAATCACTTAGCCCTACTGCTACACACAGCACCTAATGCTTACGGACTGAGTATTCGCAAAAGGATTAACTGCGTCTTTGTGTTCACATCCTCACAGGCTGGTTGTAGAATTAGTCCACTCACCCTCTGCCCTAATACCCCTGATTGACAGCTTCTACAGTGTGTATGACGATGTGGTCACATCTGCAAAGTGGAAGCTGTTTGATCTGTTGAGTTCAGTCGTTATTGTGAAAGGAAAGTATTGGTTTGACTTTTGATTCCCTATACTGTATACACTTAAGAAGTTTTGTGTCCCCCCACTGCATGTTCCTCTTAAATAACAGCTTTTCAGAAAATTAAACTAATGCTAATTTCAATATTTTATATGGCTGCAGCGCTGAAGGAAATTTCCTCTCTTGGTAATGGAAACTAAGTATTATTCCAGACTGACTACACCACCTTGCAAAGAGAGTTTAATTCATAGCAGATTCAAGTCAGTTAGGAACTGGAAAATATGACTTTTATAGACTTTACACTTCTTCCATTGTTTTAATTTTTTTCCCCTGATCAACATGGCCATGAAAAACTGCTGAAACATAAAGACCACAAAATAGTAGATCTATGCCAAAAGCACAGGCACCCTGAATTGTGCAAGAAGGTGCAGCAGTTTTAAGAGAGATAAGATCACTTCATTGGCCATATACAATTTCTTGTATTAGGAATTGGTCTTTTCGCATACCCCAGCTTGCTCTCCATGAGACACACAGACAGGGAGAGGGAAGCTTGGGGTCAGAGCGCAGGGTCAGCCATTTATATGGCACCCCTGGAGCAGTTGGGGTTAAGGGACTTGCTCAGGGTCCCAACGGAGTAGGATTCCTCTCCCGGCTGCGGGACACGAACCAGCAACCTTCCAGTCACAGGCGCAGATCCTGAGCCACAGAGCCACCTAACCGCCATACAGGAATAGTGTAGATATGTTCAGCACTTAATAACAGTGATTAATATATTCTACAGCAGGTCTAGTAATTCTGTACCATTTTACTTTTTTTATTTTCCAGGTACTTACAGTACCTGATACACACAAAGCAATATCTGTCACAAATCTTTCTATCTTCATTTTACTAATTCATTTTGTGCCACAGTGTTTAGCATTGCTTCCTCACAGTGCTGGGACCCTGGGCTCAATTTCTGGGGTGCTATCTGTGGAGTTAATATGTTCCCCCCCTGTTTCCACGGGTTTCCTCCAGATGATCTGGTCTCCCCTCTCAGTCCAAATCCATGCTGGCAGGTTAATTGGGCTTCTGTAAAATTTGTGTGTGTTTGTCTCTATCCCTATGTCTGTGTCCCATCCCTAATGCCCAATGTTTCCCAGGATAGGCTCTGGGCCACGCCCTAGGCACTTTCACTCCGAAATCTGCAAAAAGAGGGATAAATGCCAATTGAATGACGTGGATTGACATGATGCACTTTAAACTATTCTAATGCTATACCACGTGATCGATGGAGAGAGTCGAGCGACCATCACTTCGATACTTCTAGTTTCTAGAACAGCTGCAAGATAGAGTATGGTTATTGATTTGGAGCACCTAGAGTCGATCACAAGCATGGAGTCACTAGTGTTTCCCTCCTTCGTAGGCCCTTAACATTTCATAGGCCCTAGGCACTGTGCCTACAGTGACTAATGGGAAATCTGGCACTGCTATGGGCCACTATGGTCCTGAATTGGGATAAGAGTTCTTGCATGTGATGTTTTCAGGTGAATGCATTTTTTCATGCTGAACCCCATTTCTCCACACTAGTCAACTATTATTTACAATATGGTTTATCAATATTCTGTTTATAAACTTAGAACATTGAGTAGATAACATGGATTATCTTCAACAGCAAGGCAGACTAAGATGTTAACAAGTACAGAATTCAGCTTCCCTTTGCACTTTGAATTTTACTATTGAATTGAGAAACATGATAAATGTCAAAAGACCCGTTGTGGAAGCGAGACCGTTATAAGGTAGCTGGTAGGAATTATTGATGTATACTTTAAATCTCTAAAGCTTTAGTGCAACAGTAGTGTGCAGAATTTAAAAAGAAAACAGACCACGAGGGCATGAACCTCACCTCACAAGCAATGAACAGTGGCAGAGAGTCCTGGGTTCACAGTCAACAGCAGGAGGATTTTTATACTCCAAAATTCTAAAGGCTGAAAAAATGTCTCTTCTAATTCTGCTCTCCTTACTGTCCCCCAAGCCCGTCTACATTGTATGGG